TTAACTTGATATTTCAACCCAGTGACATCACATGACACTGAGCCCGCAACCCAAACCAATCCAATTATAGATTAAGTTTTGGAGGGCCCCTTGAAATCATCCTAACTCCCCCCCCACCCAGGGTATCTCTGGTGACAAATAAAACTTGAAAGTTGAGAGTGTCGATTTTCCAAGTCAAAACACAGTAATTTGCAGCTCTGCACCACTTTTATTTATCTGTGCAGTAAAATAAAATGAACATGATAGTGATATATGTAGACTTTTCCCTACCTTCCTGTCTGACACTGTACCATACCTTAAAAATAACACATCGTTAATCAGTGTCAATTTCCAGATGTTCTCACTTTGATCCATGTGTCCACAGTGCCCCAAGGACAATACGGGTTCATTTCAATGTCTTCCGGTTTCTTCAAAGCGCCCACTTGATCTCAGTGTCGCTACAGCTTTACAGTGAATCAGTGCCGGGAAGTTTAGGTCATGCCAGTGATTTATACCCAGTGATTTATACGCACTTGTTCCCGCTTCACCTGGAGCAGGTTGTCTGACAGCTGGCTGGCTTCATTTCCACGACTAACTGAAAGTGGCCATTTTATGGCAGTTTTATTTACTGTGTTAACCCAGCTTCCTGACAGTGGTTACAGATTGATAGAGTGAGGAAAGTGCACAGGGCCTTAAAAGACCGTAGATACAAGCGGAATGGGAGCCGATCATCACAGCACAGCAGAGACTCTGGACTCTGGAGTGTTTCTGATGTTTATTTTGACTAGTTTACCTAATTGGCCACATTATCGCTTGACAAATAATGTAATGAACTGTCTTAGGCAGTCAAAGGAAATGTTTATTAGCTATTCATGTGTGTAATGAGTGTACATTAGAATATGCATAAATTAATAATAAAACCTAACAAGCATGATTACTAATATCTTTTTCCATGGCTAAAACACTACTTCAGTTCCCGGAGGGGGGGGGGGGTGGCTAGAAATTTAGTCCTGCTAGAAATTTAGGGCCCCATTGAAGCAAACTATGTCGGACCCCCAACCCAAAGCAAGCCAATAATGTTCCTGATATTTGGGGCCCCCTTCGAATGGCCCAGAGTACTCCCCCCTTACAACCCCCCTGTTTGGGGGCACCCCAGCCATTTCATCTATTCCTTAAATTTAACCACTAGTTCAACAAATTAGTTAAATGGGTTAAATAACTTGATGAGGTGCTGATCGGCCACATAAGGCTTCCACACACACGGGTGTGTTGGCTGGTTGCGGCATTTTGACAGGCATGATATCATAGATTTACACCAACATATGAAGATCATTTAAGCATCATTTTCTTTGACTGCCTAAGACTTTTGTACTGTACTGTTTGTGTATGAATTTTTTAGGATTGAATGTGTAACTAGAATGGATTTTCAAAGCATTCCGGCATTCCCACTAATTAACATATGTTAACGTCTTCTGAGGAATATTCTGTCATCCATAACCTTTAAGGGATCCGTCTCCGTGGCGTCGATCTGGGCCTGAAACTACATAAATATACCTGCACTACCCTGATGAAACGCAGTGCGTCGTTTAGGTGTTTCACCTTCATGCTTCTTGGTGGTCCTGCGCTGCTTGGTAATTGTGGTCAGCTGCAAGGAAAAGGAGAAGCTTTGCTGGAACAAAGCTGAGTAACGACGCATCACGATCCTCAGTTCCAGTTCAGCGCGCAGCCAGAGAAGGTCGCCACTTCACTTTGCATGCTGTCCCTGACTCTGCTGCCAGGATGTTCTGCGTCGTCGTGATCATGTGTCTGCTGCACTGTGCAGTGCAAGGTAAGGTGACAGTTCGCTCTACAATCCAATTGCTTCTTCATCACGACCACCATGCCAATCGCAATGGAGACACATTTAAGCAATTTCCCTGCAGGATCAATAAAGTGTTTTCTGTTTCTGATTCTGATTCTGATTCTGATTCTGATTTAGCTACATTGTTTAAATTGGTCTACAGTAAATAGGAAATTGACGGTGCTGAATTAAAATGACGTGACATAAGATTTACAAAACCAACTTGGATTTGCAAATTCTTTAAATCAAATAAATCATTCTTATGCAGCTCTTCTACTCTAGCTGTGCAATCTTGCCTTTCATTGTGTCTTTATCATCCTCTTTGAAATGTCACTGTACTGAGGCATTCCTCACAATCACAGAGAACAGAGAGAATCCTCGTGTCGGCGTAAATCAGGGTGGGTGCAGTGGTCTCACTGTAATTTATATCTTTGTGGCTATAATTTTGAAAAATTTATGGGCGTACCTGTCATTGGCAGCGGTAAATTAAACTCTCCGTAACCAGAGTGGGGTGGCTTGATGATTCCTTCACATGATCAGGTCACCAGTTATGCTAGAAAAGATGTGGAACTTGGGCACAAAAATAAGTCTTTGATAAGTGTGAGGAAGTTTCCATCTGCCCCCAGAATATCACAAATTCTATTTACTCACGTTCACTTTGTGTAATAAAACTTCAGTGGGTTAGTTTAAGATGAAGATAAATTAATTAATTAACATTTAAAAATGTAGTTGTCGAGCGATATATTGCATTTCTGTAAATCAGAGTTTCCCAAACCAGTCCTCGGGGCACACTGGACAGATATACATTTATGTTTTATCCCAGTTCCCAGCACACCTGTATGGTATATAGAGCTCCTGCTTGCTTGGGTCAGTGTTGGGAAACGTTTTGCCTTAAATAACGGCGATAGAATAGTAATTAACAATAAATAATGGTAGCAATTCTGGATGGCAGCCGCATTGTTGTCTTGTTAAGGTCGAGCTTTTCCCTTTATTTCCTTGCCACTATTTTAGTTGCGTTTGTAGCACACAGTATCGATTTAGCGATACGGAGGCGTGTTGGCTGGGGCGCTGTTACTCCGGAGCATCCTTCCTCAATGAAAGCAGAACTGTAGCAGGAAGTGGGAAACAGACGCTCAGGGCCCCCCTGCTGTCAAGCTTTGGTTAGTTCTGGAAGCTCAATGTGTTTCCTGGAGCCAAGGGGGGCTGGGCCCCCCGACTCAGTGCTCACTCTACAGGTCTCAGATCAGGTGCTTTCGGTTCCCGTTTTCTCAGCTACGAACACACCGCTGACCTCTGTGCTCTCTGCTCTCGCGCCTTCCGCAATGCCGTTTCCAGCATGCAAAGCTTCCACATAAATGGTACGGGAGAAGCACTGGGGGTCGATCTTATTATCTAGGGTTCTGAGAAAAGTACCTCGCCGCAGACTGAATCAGAAGAGAAGTTAATTCCAGCAAACAAATCATTTTGCGTATTACCTCATCGCTAGAATTCCAAGTAAGTGGACAATTGACCCCTTGTTAATGCTGTTTCTGATAAACACCAAAATATCATTAAAAATCAAAAGATAACATACACTATTTTAAATACACACTCTCCTTTTCTTGCAGATCCAAAATGCACAAGATTCCTGCAGAAGAAAAACAAAGAGCTTTTAAAATATTACATTTTGTCTTGGATGAAAATGCCAGTGTCCGGCAATGGAGAGTTACATGTTGTGACTGTTAAATCATATCGGCTGAATAATGACTGAGGGATATATGGAATGTTTGCTTTTTCTTACTTTATAGAGAGTCAGGAGAGTGTGCTGGACCTCTTGCAGAGTAACTGTGTATTTACACCCTTTACAGCTCAGGATAAAGCTGAGGAAGCAGGCGTGTTGGCAGTAGAGCCGTCATCGGACCTGTCCGACGGCCACGCCGCTAACGCGAAAGACGAGCCGCAGCCTTTGCTGAAATCACCTCACACATGCTGCAACATGGACCCGCTGGTGGACAAACTGTCCGAGCTGATTGTCGGGCAGCGGGAGTCCACCAGCGGCCAGGCCGAGGTCATCAAGATCCTGCGCGCCATGAAGGACCAGGGCAGCCAGCAGCTGATGAACCTGCAGAACCTGGCCCGGCACCAGAGCCTCCTGCTGGAGAACCACCAGGCCCTGCTGCAGCAGGTGTCGCGGGTCGCGACCCAGCTGCAGGACATGAGCAAGCGGCCGGCCGCTGAAAGACAAGCCCGGCCCGCTGCATGAGACAGGCTACAGAACATGTCCTTCGGACGTGCAACCTGTCTTTCCGTATAACGTTAAACGCTGCACAGAGTAATCTTCTGGCACGTTGATTGTTGATGAAAAAAAAAAGATAAAAAAAAAAAAACAAACAAAAAACAATATTGCCTTGGGAATCATGTCGTGATTTTTTCCTGACTGCTTGAATTACATCACCCCTGCCTTAATTAGCTAAAATTATATTTTTGGCCAGCTAACATTCCTTGCATTTCTGATATAATTTCCATATGTTACCTCTATAAAATATAACTGTTGTAACAGTTTTCTGAAAGTAATAATAAAGCAGATGAATATGAAAAATATGGAGTTTTTTTTAATGCATCATAAATCCTAAGATAAAATTTGAGCTATCCCGACGATACTCATATATGTCAAACACGAGTATAGCGTCATTAATATTGAAACAGACCTACGTTACTATTAAACAGTTAGCTTAGGTTACCGCCCACCATATGCATTGCTTATGCGTGGACAGTCGCTCAGGGCGGCGACCCCACGCCATACCCGGCCCCTTTCGGCCCGCCTGCTTCCACAAGCTGCTATATGGGGAGATGTTTCCACCCAGAAGATCGGGGTCAAACGGTTCATCTGCTTTTCATCTGATTCTGCAGTTTCGACATAAACATAACAAAACCTCTTCATTGCAAAACGCCATCCACCATCTCGCTTACGCTGCACTTTTTATTTTGCCGAGATGTTCGCTCGTGTTAAATATATCCGTCCTGCGCGTGCTCAATTTACATAAAACGCTGTCAATCCTGGGAAAACACGGTTTTTACTAATTCAGCTCTTTTAAAATGATGCCGTTGACATTAAATCTTGAATTTCATTGTAATTCTGTTACTACTTAAGAGGAACAGTTCATGTACAACTTTAACTAATAGCCCCTGCTTGTCTCTGTAGATCCAACCCTTCTGTTTGACCCGGGTGTTCCAGTGAGGGTGGATAAGACGGAGGAGGACAGCTGTCTCTTGGAGTGTCCACTGAAGGACCCCAGGGCCACCGACTTCTTGCTTCGCATGCAGAACGGTAGCTCCACCCCCCCAGGCATGAGATACACCACGGACCCCAGGAAAGGAATCACGATCCAGAACCTCCACCCCAGCTATAACGCGGACTATGTCTGCAGCGCGCGGCTCCATGGGGTCGAGAGCATCTCCAGGATGTTCTCGCTTGAAGTCTTTCCGAGTGAGTGACAGTCCCCCGTTGCTCTGTGTGCCAGAACATGCAACCAAACCCTCGCTGCAGATAACGCACCCTATCGAAACATGAAACACTTGCATATTTCTTCTAGAGATACGAGCCCCACCAAGCGTATCCCTGGAAAAGGATGAGTACGTACGCATCGTTGGAGAAAGTCTGCAAATCATGTGCAACACACATAATCCAGACTCCCTCTATCTTGTGAGATGGGAACACAAATCCAAAACCGTGAGTGCCTCTGGATAGCAGACCCAAACTGAAATGTCTAGTATGAAATGCAAATACTGAAATATCTCCTGACTCCTATGGTTACTGATCTACAGCTTCTAATGTCTCTTAGGTGCTCATCTCAGTAATGTTGTGGTATTTTCAGGCAACGGAAAGGTCATATGTGGACTGGGATGATAAGGGACTTAGTGTCAACAGAGTTTTGACCATTCCAACAGTATCCATGTCTGACACAGGGAACTTCACCTGTAGAGCCAAAAACAAAGTTGGAACCAACAGATACACTGCATTCCTTCAGGTTGTAGGTAAGTAGATCTGGGGCTATATACTGTATAAGGATCATGAGCATGCTGGGAAATGCAAATGGACTCCACTATTCAGAGCCGTCTTACTGGTGCTACAATATTATACCAAGGCATTGTCAAGCTCTCCAGTCTGATTGGTCAGAAAGGTACCGATTAATTTTCTATAAACACACATCCAGCCAGGGGAAACACAGTAGAAAATCAACGCACAATTACAATCTCAGTGAAAGTGATTAACTGTCAACATGCCATAGCACACAACACCAAAATGTGTCCTCTGCATTTAATCCATATGTGACATTGCAGGGGGCAGCTAATTCAGCGCCCGGGGAGCAGTGCTTGGGGGCGTTATCCTGCCCATGGTACCTCAGTGGTACCTTGTTGGACGGGGATTCGAACCAGCAACCTTTCTCTCACAAGTGTGCTTTCCTAACCAATAGGCCACCACTTTGATTCTAACGTAAAGTTCCAGAAGTAGACCGCAATTTAAAATTTAACGGAAACTAATAAGAAATGTTTATTATTTGGTGGAAGAAAGTAGTGCTGCTAATGAATTAACTTTTGGCTTGTAAATGTGAACAAGATGTCTTCAGGTACAAAGGGGTGCGTGGAAAAGCGCTCCGAAAGTGAAAGCTTGGTTTGTCCAACTCCCATTACAGAAAAGCCGTATGTGCAGCTGTCCTCTGCCCTGCGTCCAGAGCTGACTGTGAATGGCACAGCGGTGACCGTGACCGAGGGGGAGGATGTGGAGCTGAGAGTGGCAGTGCATGCATACCCCCCCATAGAGGGCTGCTGCTGGACCACACCGGGGCCTCACAACATCTCCTGCAGTGGGCAAAGGCTTCACAACCTCAGCACCAGGTAGCCTGCTTAAAGGAAACTCATTTATTTATTTACAACCATCCGTCTGCTCATCCACTACAGCAGTGTTTCTTAATCCGGTCCTGGTGGACCATGTTTTTTCACCGGGAGCCGGGAGGGAGCAAAAATGTGGACTGACTGGCAGGGAGCTGGGAGGGAGCAAAAATGTGGACTGTCTGGCAGGGAGCTGGGAGGGAGCAAAAATGTGGACCAACTGTGGAGGCCTGATCTTGTTCTTTTTTACTTCTAGGAACATTTTTTTTAAGGTTTAAAGGGGAAATCTGGCTTTTTCTGTGTGATACCAAAAATAAACTTCCTTAGAAAGGGATATAGGAAATAATTTGCATGTAGTATAAAAAATGAAAAAAATAAACTTTGCTATTCCCTTCAGCTTGAGACCTAGTATCCCTCCCCCCACAGACTCATGTTATCATTGCAGGTATGAAGAAGCTCTGGTGCTGAGGAGAATGACTGCCGACAAGCAAGGCCAGTACAGCTTCTGCGCTACAAACCTTCACCTCACCCAGTCGCTCACCTTCACCATTAAGATCCACCGTAAGTCTGTCCCTGTTACCCAGGGACTTTGATATTGACCCGCACCATTGCCAAGCTTCTTTCGGCTCCAGCGTGATGATGATACACAGGAATGCTGACGTTAAAAGCCAGGGGTGGACAATTCAGGTCCAGAAAGTAAAAACCCAGACCAAGATTTTATTCCAACCAACCAGCTGAGTACTCTGTGACTGTGATTCTTTATACTCAACTGAAGTAAATTATGCTCCCCTTCATAGAAGGACATCTTTAGAATGAAGTCAACAACATTAGCTGCAGTGTCGGCCATATTGGTTCAAAGTCTCTAGCTAAGCTAGAACACAGACACAGCTTAGCTTGTAAGCTAACTAGCAAACTAGACTCAAAGCTGAAGAGTTATTTATAGGCTACACATTCATGTGCAAGTATACAGTGCACTATGATGATCAGCACTGTGGTTCAATTTTTTTGCAAATAAAATGAATTTACATGGTCGCTCGTGTGGTATGCCTGCCTATAGCCACCGCTGCACCTCTGACTGTACCTCCAATGGTTTGTTCTTGGCAGAAAAGCCCGTTACTCGTGTGAGAAGGTACAACAGCGCCCTGACTTGCGTTTCCTCTGGATACCCAGCACCCAAACTGGTCTGGTACCAGTGCTCAGGCGTCAGAAATTCGTACGTATCGGGGATCTGTGCGCCACTAATCATATCGGAACAATAGAGTTGTTTGTGCATGTCTGGCCTTGCCGTAAACTTCCCTTGGACCTACAGGAGCTGTGAGAGTGACAGAGAGCCCCTGGACTGCCCAGCCACGCAGACGACGACGGCACAGAGAAAGGACTATGGGCCAGTGGAAGCGAGGAGCGTGCTCAGTTTGAGTGGGCTCCCCCAGGAGAGAACCTTTGAGTGTGTGGCCTCTAACGTGGTTGGAGAGAGCAGCGACATGTTCACCCTGAACGACCCTCCTCCAACCACTCATCACGGTTAGTTTCCATGTGCAACATGAAATTAATTCATGCCACCTCATGCAACCTGGCAGCATGTTTAGAGTTAAACCTTCTGGCTGTAAATTTCAGAATATTACACCAGATATCACTATAAATCCTAACAGAGGTCCAGCAAGTTCTTCTCTGTCCCCTGTAGAGGACATTATGTTTTTGCTCATATCTCTCATACTGCACATACCTCTGTAAATTCCTGTTGTTTCTTAGAGAGGACAGTTAGAGCTTTAAGACGACGTTACATGTTACTTGCCAGCCGTCCACTTCCTGTGAAATCAAAATGTTTAAATAAATATTATTTTTTTCTCCCCTGGAGGCTAAAGGTGTGGATTTGTTTAGTAACTGTGTCAGTGCCTTGCACCCTCCCAAAAATAATCACCAAAACAGGTCACCATCCTTTGCTATTGCCACCT